CAAAAGTGTGAAAGGATTGCAGAATAAGAAGCAGTAGAATTAATAAATGAACTTTTCTTTGCTACGTGATCTTCCTCCCCAACTTCTACAGACGAAAGAGAAGAGGGAACAGAGAAGCGAAGGGAAGTCGCAGATGAAGTGCAAAGGAATCTGCTATAATCCAAGTCAATTTAGTTCTCTGAGAACAGATTTTCTAACACCCGTAATACTAAATCACTGACATATTCATTCAGTCACAGATTACTCCCACGGAAGGCGAGAGCAATGTTTTTCTTCATTTTATATATGCACTTTTTCATCCTTGTTTCTCTTGCAAATCGAATGACCTCGCTCGCCTTCGCAAAACGAGGTCAGATGAAAATGACCCTGAAGTTATGTAAAGTGGATGAGCGTTTTCATTATTATGTATTATAGTCTTTGATTAACTTATATGTTTGTAGGTTATTCAATTATTTACTCCTCTTTCAGCATGCATAGCAACGAGGATACAAAAGACATAACATAAAGAGGTATAACTTATCCACTGAATTTTTTCTTCATTTTCTCAAATAGTTTTTTCCATTTTCGTTATTCTTATAAATTTAATCATCATGACTATTCATATTATCATTACCTTTGTTATTGAAATGATACTACCAATAGTAATTGTAATAGTAGTAGTAATAGCTGTATAAGAAGTAGTAATTGTTCAATAAGCATCGTAATTGACATTTCATTTGATACATTTTAATTAACATCATTATCCTTATCAAGATCATTATAATTCCCTTCACCATCAATATTTCTATTTTCAACACTGTTATTGTTTTCGAAATCGTAATCGTAAATGTTGTAATTACCAGAGAGAGAAAGAGGAGAAGAGAGAACGAGAGAAGGAAACAGACAGACAGACAGACGAGGAGAAATCAGAGGTCATTCTTCTCTTCTCATTATTCCCCCCTTTCTCCATTCCCTTTGTTCTTCTCCCTTGTTCGTCGAGTAATTAAGCTTATCCACTTTGTCATTCCTCCCCTCCGTAATAAATAACCCGTTTTCTTTTCTTTTGCTTTCTTTTTAGAGATCCCTGCCAAGGTGTAGACGAATGCAAGGTGCAGATAAGGGTAACGGATGGGCGACCGAAGAATTTTCATGTTTAATAGGCATATCTCGGGGAAGAAAAAAAAGAAAAAGAAAAACGTGGTACTCTGGCCCACGCACTCATCACGGCCGCACGCACACATACAAACACACGTACACACACATACTTACACATACACACACACACCATTTTGTCTTTAACCTTTTTTTCAGTAATCTCTGTTCGTAGCTGATTGCCCGTTTCATTCCATTTAGCATGAGTATCAATGCGTATTTTTTCATTACAATCATTGTCTATTTTTCTTTCTTTATTTTTTTTCTTTTAAAGAAATTACTACTAGCCTCCTTGACATAAGATCCTTTGTCAAGGAGTAAGAATTAGAGAGAGAGAGAGAGAGAGAGAGAGAGAGAGAGAGAGAGAGAGAGAGAGAGAGAGAGAGAGAGAGAGAGAGAGAGAGAGAGAGAGAGAGAGAGAGAGAGAGAGAGAGAGAGAGAGAGAGAGAGAGAGAGAGAGAGAGAGCGCCCACAGACCGGGACCACAACACGCTGCCAGGGCCGCTGCGGCCAGGCAACGGGGCGACCGACTGCCAGGCACAGGATTAACCCGCCGCAAGAGCTGTTCAGAAGAACGTGATCACCAGACAATGACTAAGTCTGCTAATCCACTCGGTAATCAGTCTTTGTGACTTGACACCTTCGTCCCCCTGCTTCCTTCTCTTCTGCGTTCTCTTCCTTTCCTTTTCTCTTCCGCTTTTCCACTTTTCTTTACCTTTTCTTCCAATGTTTCCACTTATTCCCTTCCTTCCTTTACACATTTTCTCTCCCTCCCTGTTTTCCTTCATTCCTTCCCTTCCCTTTTCCTCTTTCCTTTTATCGTTTCTTTCTTTCTTTTTTAAACAGAGGAGGAAAGAATAAGTGAGTACCAGAGCGCTGCAGATCAATCATTGCTCCTTTGCTTGAAAATATATTCCTTACCATCATTAGATTTACCGTGTATATTCCCCGCGCGCGCGTGTGTGTGTGAATATTTGAGAGAGAGACAGAGGGAGAGAGAGAGATAGAGGGAGAGAGAGAAAGAGAGCGAGATTATTAAGTGCAGGGCAGTCTGTTTAAATTCAAAATTATCAGAATTCTATGACAGGCTTTACAGCTCCCTCCACAGGACACCCCAAGACCCCATTTCAACCTCTCGCCGAAACACTCACGAAGACGGTGACTCCAGGGAGGTTATGGTCGACCTTGACCTCCGGCCGGTTCCTCGGGATGAAACTGTAGAACTGCTCGCCGTCCTTGTACCACCTGACGGAGTAGAAGCCCTTGCTTCCCGGGCTCCAGTGGCACTCCAGCCGCGCTGCCTCGCCGGCAATGCCCGGGGTGGGCACTGTCACGTTGTGGACAGAGACGCCCTTGGCACCTGTTAAGA